TCTGCCGGGATAAAAAACGTTCTCAACTCGAAAAAAAGAAGGCAAAAGAGAAGAGATGTGTTTTAAACAATGATCTGAATAATAAATTCTAATAATATTGATAATGAAAATTATGATATTGCTGTTCTAGTCAAGGCCGCTTTACACAGTATGGAAATGAGAATTAAAATAAAACGACAGGACAGAAAAACTAATGGTGAAAGATTGTGAAAGAACATAATCTTAAACAAACAATCGAACAAACAAAACCTGTGGATGGTTTTCTGAACTGTACCTTTTCTTAGCTGTGTGCAGTTGCACTGTCAGGTTGTCGCGTTGAGGTTTTATTGTGAAGGAGTGGACAGGAAGCAGCTGCGTGACGCTGCGTGCACCTCCACAGGCTCCAGGAGTTTCCCGGCTGCAGGAGCCACGAGCAGCCCGGTGTTCACACAGGAGACATGGGGCCGAGGAGTCACCACAGCCCGGAGCAGGAGCAGGAAGTCCCCCGCAGCTGAGGACGAGGACCGGAGCCTGTGGTTTTATTTCCGAACCAGTGAAAACAAACGGAACCAAACAACAACAACATCAAGTTAAATGACAGCTGAAGTTATCCGGGCTTTTCTGATACCAAGGGCAAAGTGCCACACCTTCGTTTAGAGCTACAGGTAAATTCAAACTACTTTCATCCTCTGGTTTTATGGCTCTTATTTCAAATACTCCTCTGAAAGTGTTGCTGAAGTCTCATTAAACCTCTGTTCACCCTGGTTCAGGTGCTTATTTACAGTAACGTCACACATACGGTGGAAAAAACCAACAAACCAAAATATTAACTTTTACAAAAAAACTAATGTATAGATAATATTTGTGTAGTAACGTGTTTCAGTGAATAGAAATACTGTTAAATAGTAATGTTTGAGTAGTATTTGCAAAGTTAACCAGCAGGTGAGTGTACACCTGTTGCACCTGGAGCTAAACTTACTACAAAGAAAGTATATATACATCAATAAATTCAAATACTGTATATACTGTACGTGGGCAGGGTCGTACCTGAAAATATTGAGAAGTTTCCCCTCTAAACAGAAACAAGGCTTCTACCTTTTTTAAAATTCCTCTTCTGTTAACTTTCTGTAAAGTTTATTTCCCAAAATTCAGTCGTAAACATCCTCTCCATAAAATCCCGCTTGTAAGATACTGCATCCTTTATGAAATATGGAATTAATTAGGTGAAGAGTTGGAAAGCTTCAATATAACGAGTCTCAAAACACAAGAATATAAAATTATCTTAAAATTTCACATTATTTATTTAAAAAAAACATGTTAAGGCTGTTTTGAATCAATTAATTTTGTCTTTAAAGTGACAGAGATTTGCTGCTTCAGTCCAAACCCCACAGAGAAAAGATGTTAATACTTAATGTTTAATATTTTTAGTTAAAAGTGACTTAAATTATGTTATTATCCCAAAAATATGATACTATAGATACTAAATTTACATTACTGACATATCATAGCTCTGTTTATTAGCAGCAAACATACAAGCGTAAAAAAAAAACTTTTCTACTGTCACTACTGTACTGTTCATTCCGTGCATTCATTTATTTTTCTGTAATTTAACGTACATTTATAAAATTACGCTGCCGTTTACACAGTTTAGTTAAATTCTGAACTTTGTTCTGTGAGTAAATATGGATTCAGTCAAATATCATTATAATCAGCTTCAGCTAAAACTTTCCATCCCAACCTGAGCAGGTGAAGTTAATGAGTGAATGTGGGGACGTTTGTTCTTTGTTGCGGTGGAGGAGGAGGAGGAGGAGGAGGAGGAGGAGAGGTCTGGAGTTAGTTAACCAGAACTCAGGTACACGGCCTTGGGCTTTGTTTGCACTTCTAACACATAACGTCACTGCACCCTGTGTCACCTAAAAGAGACACACAAACGTTGTGTAAGGCCGAACCTGCCATGTTGGTCGTTTGTCAAACGCTCTTAAACATGATGTTAACAGCGGCTCGTGCTTCATCACTGTCAGATCCTTCTCCGACTCGATTAGGTCGATGTTTTGCACAGGACTCCACCCATGTGACAGCTCATTAGACAGAACAAGCCTTTTAAAGCAGATGCAAATAATATTTGCCAAAGATCTAGTTTGCTTTGCAGAGGAGCTGCTGCTGGGTGACTTCAGCTGAACCAGGATGTAAACACGGGGCTGGAGCTCAGTACTGTTGTTTACATTGTGGTCCTGGGAAATAGTTTGTACTGGCAGTCTTATTAGTTCAAAGTAACATATTCATGACAATTTTAAAAGTTTCAGTTTCAGGAACTAATATTTGGTCTGTTTTGGACCCTTGCAAAGAGCCCAAAATATTATTTTTGAAATATATTTCTCAGGAATGTCAATAAAAAAACATAACTGGACACAATGAGCCATTTGAAGACTTTTCTAGAGCTGCAGAGAATTACGATCAATATTTTTCAAACTGAATGATTAAGTGACAAGCACAAATTACAGAGAAATTAATCAATAATGAAAATAATCAGCTGCAGCACTTACACTTATTAATCACCAACTAAACTAATGCTAAAGAAGTTCGTCTTTGCATTTTCTGATATAAGTTCATGTAAATATACACAAGATACAGAAACAACTTCCATTACAAACAGGGATTTCGTCTGCAGCTACTTTGATAATGGATTAAATGTAAAAATAGAACTTATCAATATCGACAATTTTCTCTGGTTCCAGCATCTGTGGTGTAAAGATGTTTTATATTGTTTTAAAAATTAAAATATTTGGGACAAAACAAGATGATATCATCTTTGGCTTTGACTACAGTCTAGTCACTAGATTATTTACAAGTGAAACTCATCCCAGAGATTAGGTTCACCCCCCAGAGTACAATTTCTCATAAAACCTAGATAAGATGTGTGAATAGCAGATTTTGGTTTCAATGCAATGTTATGAGGTTGGAGATCCACTCGTGGTTAACCCTCGTTTTACTGGCGTCTGCGTCACAGGCTCTTTATCATGTAAAACTGCACTCGTCTCAGGCTCCTGGGCTCCTCTCGGGTTTGTTTACTCACTAAAGTAGAATTTCGTGGCTCCTGAGCCGGGAGGATCCACGGGAGGAAAACAGCAGCAGGTCTGTTTGCAGAGCGAGGACGAGAACGGGAGGGAGGGAGGCGGGGTGGAGGGGAGGGGGGAGGGGGGTGCTATTGATAAGTGAGGGATGTTGGGTAATAGAGACTAGACAGGAGTTGTTTTCATCAAGCTGCTGCTGCTCAAGGCCATCGGGACGCACACACACACTCAAACATGCATTTTGACATTTCAGATTCTTCTTATTTGAGCAAAATGTTTGATCGTGTTTTCACAGAAATAATGGAGAAGGACCTTAAAGAAATCAGTAACCATGGCGACCCACCCACAGATACACTTGCGTGATCACACCTGGCGTTTTCACATCAGCCCAACTCGAGATCGACCCTCCGCTGCACGTGCGCCGAAGTCGTAGAGACGTTTTTATTTCAGTTTTCTTTGTGCAAGTCATTACTGGAAAAACAATAACGTGACTCAGACGTACAGCTCCGGCTCTCGGCCTTATCAGGTGCGGAGGGTTAATCTCAACTGTACGTGCAGGTTATTAAACGCCGGATCGGAGATGATAAGATGCCCGAACTGACCACATTATCGACCGCTGCAGTTTTTCTCAGAGAAATACAAGAGGCGATGGGGGGGGTCAGACCAGCCGCTGATTACTGTACGGAAATTATGTCAATAATTGCTTTGTTTCCGCTTTGCTTCTCATGAACATAGTGTGTGAGACAAAAGTCTAACTCTGATCCGATGGTGTCAGACTTCATTTAGAAACCAGAGGGAAGAGATGAGGTCAAAGGGTCGAGACCTGAACTCTTATTATTCATGCTGATGACATTTAGAATTCATTAATCGCATTAGTTTGTCCAACAAAGACAGGGACAGTTAATCCTCTCTGAATGTGAAGGGAAGGTGGATATTGGATGGGAAATAAAATTTAGCTACATCTTATTTTTGGAAGTTTTGTACTGTGGAGGTTTTACAGATTGTTCCTGGTATTGATCCCGGATTTAATGATACTGATCGTGTCCCGGTCTTAATTATTTCTGTACTTTTGAATTATTTAGAGCTGTAACTCAACATTATTTTCATCATATGTGGAGTTAATCTTGTATATTTAATGATTCACTGTTCAAGAACAGGGCATCACATAATCATAGCAATCATTAGCTGTGCCCCAATTCAGGGGCCATCAAACGCATCCGTCCATTCACAAGCAACAAGGGATCCGATAGGTGGATCCTTCTTGGGCCAACCTATCCCAGAATTCATTGTGCTCCAGTAATGCAGCTAATGAGCTAGCTATGCAGGCAGCTGCATAACTAGCTGCAGTAAATGATACAAACACTGGTTGGGACGTGTTTCTGCTTTTTACTTGATAAAATCTGATAATCAATCAATCAACCAACCGGAATCATCTCCCTGTGCTGTGTGGATTTCTAAGCAGCTCGAGAGATCAGTTGATGAAACGGTTGTTTTTCTTTTCTCTGCCAAACTGGAGTCAACACTTCAGTCACAGTTGTCACCACCAGTCCGTCTTCTGACAGTATCTCAGTCTCACACCTCCCCTGTCTCCAGTCTCACAGACTGAGAGGCTGCGTGGTGAAAAGTGGCTGCTCAAGATTTTAGTTTGTGACACAACACCGAGTCCGGCTGTGCAGTTAAAGCAGCATATTTTCCGAGGATAAGATGAACTTTTGTGAGTCCAGCTAAGAGGAAAAGGAGAAAATATAAATGTCTGATATGTAGTGTGAACCCAGATTGCACATTTAAGATACTGAACTCAACATGGATGTAAATTAAAGTTTGACCAAATTAAAAAATCATATATTTAGATATATTATCGCACTTAAATTATTGCTAATATTTTTCTAAATATGTGATTTACGCATCGCATCATCCGACTCTTTCCAAAACACAGCCCTATGGAAACAACAGATGGAGTGAGATGGATGTCAGACCAGTTCGCCCACTTTTCCATCACCACACCCTCCACATGTCACCCGCATGAACATGATCTCCCTTCTCACTGTCCACACACACACACACACACACACACACA